CCCTCCCATTAACCCCCCTAGTGTCAGCACTAATGAGGGACACAGTGGCAGCTCTGTGCTCCCCCACACCCACACCCACACGTTGGTCTTTACACACATAATGCACTCACAAGCCCCTTATCCTAACCTTAAGCACCGCGGCTAAATGTTTAACCCCAACCTGATTCTACCTTTAACCCTAGAACCGAGTCTTAACACTGAAACAGGCCTTTGAAGTTGAGGAGCTCACAAACCACCTCTCTCAGTGTGTTTACATCTGGTCTCACAGTGCTAATGCCAGAGGTTCCTCTGGATGTGTTTACATCACGCAACACGTGGTGATTCGAGTCTTCAACGCGCAAAATGCCTCTAAACAAGCCTCTGCTACTGTCACCGTTCAAATAAATTAGCTCTTGTTGTGGTTTTATTTTTGTAGGAATTTTTTTATTCTTCTGAAATTGTCACCAGCTCCAATTCAGTTCTTTGTTCGTTTTTGGAGACATTTGGCTCTGACTCGTGCACGCAGCATGCATGTGTCCAGTGCATACAGAGGCGTTTATTTTCTAATGAACTCCAGTGATTACCTACACCGAAAAACACTACAATTCACTATAATAATAATAATAAAACTCAACAGAAATCAGCAAAATCACATTTCTGTTGCTACTGGCCAAGACTGTTTGTATAAACACTGTGTGCTATAGCCAATAATATCAAATTAAAAACTCAAAAACTAATATAAAAATATATTTACCCGGGGATATCCCAATTTTAGGCAATGCAAAATGTACGGTGAGGTTTTACTGTTTCATAGACTCAGAAGAGTTCAGGCCTGCAATCATGAGCTCCCTCTCAAACCCCTGGGCCCTGTTTAGCCAATAGCTGATTTATTTTTTTATTTGCTTCTTTCTGTTTCCACTCGTTCAAATTAAAAGTAACAGTGCCTGCCCTGGTGGACTGTAAACATATTTTACGTTGGCTGTGGTAGTGTATATCCGTGTCCACAGAGGGCGGGGAAACTGTTTGGGGCGGGGCAGCGTTTCCACTCCTGGCTTCTGATTGGCCAGGGAGACTATTAAAGCCTCTACACGCACCTGTGACCAACTCGTCGTAATTAGGACGCTAATGCTAATTGAATACCTGTGCTGTGGTCCACAGAACATTCTCCTAGCGGCTACTCACAATTATTACTGAATTATCTTGTGTGCTATATGCTTAGGCCG